TGTGATGTGTAAGAGGCGGCTGGCTGTGCGAGTCCCGAGTTCAAATTGATCCACAGCCCTAGCGAAATGGCTTCTTGTCTGTTTGGTTTAATGCTGCCTCTGTCCCTCTGTGGTCTCCTCAGCACCATGGCAAAAATGGATATTGACTGTCAAGTTAGCCTAGCAAAACCAAGCAAGAGAAAGATTGTGGGTTAGATTTTACGTTGAAATGGCCAATAATTGCCGCCAGACCTGCATGGATTCTGCGATTCTGTGTTCACATTTATGCAAGGGGAAAAAATGGTAGTGACCACAGAAATCAGCACGGGAAAAGCTTCATCTCTCTCTTTTACTTGAAGAACTCAGGGATCTAGTCCTAAAAAGGTTTCCCTTGCTCGAAAGCTAGTTGAATCCGACTTTAGGGGGCGGTGCTCACCTCTGTTTCCAAGCTGAAGAGCCAGCGCTGTCTGAAGACGTTTCCGTGGTCATGTGGCCGGCATGACGAAACGCCGAGGTGCACGGAACGCTGTTACCATCCCACCAAAGCGGTACCCATTTATCTACATGTGGCACTGGGGCCTCAAACTACAGACCTTCTGGACTGCAGCTCAGCATCTTAACCTCTGAGCCACCCTGGCTCTAGTCTTAGAGACTGTCAAAATAGTCCCAGTGGGATCTCAGTGCCCAGAGTGCCTTGCCTCATGCACGGCCCTTTCCTGTGATCAGCAGAAATGGCATAAAACCATGCACAATTTGCAAATATATGCAAATATGCCCAGCTGGCATAATGAACTGCAAAATTCAGCTTGCTCTCAACAAACAGTTTGGAATTTTTCAAGTACTAAATGTAAGCAAAGCAGATTATTTTATCAATGGATTGATTTGATTTGATTTGTTTCCCGCCCTCCCTGCTGAGGCAGGCTCAGGGCGGCTTATTAGAGAACTGAAACACAGGATTAAATAAAACCACAACAGTCAAATTATAAAACACAGCGTAAAGTGCTAGTGCTGTTCGTGAACGATGGCGGGCGTTTGCGGTGTCTAAAATTAACATATTAATGATGATGTTAATATTGGGGCCAGGGCCTCAATTTCTTGGGGTGGCTCCCTAGTCAAAGGCCTGGCGGAAGAGCTCCGTCTTGCAGGCCCTGCGGAACTGTTAAAGCTCCTGCAGGGCCCTGATCTCTTCCAGGAGCTCATTCCACCAGTGCGGAGCCGCCACCGAAAAGGCCCTGCCCCTCGTCACAGCCAGCCTGACTTCTCTAGGGCCCGGGAGGGGCAGACGGTTTTGGACCCCGATCTTGCCAACATTAAGAAGCCAATGAAATCTTGTTACTTGGGAGTCACAGACCCCATATCCGGCAGGTGATTTCTTTTTAATGCCCATTTTGGCACCAGGTGTTACACAGGTGAGTGTTAGAGGCTGATAGCAGATAGCTGATAACTGTGAATATACCTTAGGGTTGCTGGCTCTGAGTTGGGAAACACCTCTAGGTTTGGGGGGTGGAGCCTGGGGAGGGTGGGGTTTGGGGAGGGGAGGGGCCTCAGTGGGATGCAGTCCCATAGAGTCCACCTTCCAAAGCATCCATCCTTCCAGGGGAACTGATTCTGGGAAGATGTACCAGCAGGGGGTTGGACTAGATGACCCTGGAGGTCCCTTACAACTCTATGATTCTTTGATCTGGAGATCAACAATGATAGCGGGAGATCTCCAGGTGCCACCTGGGGGCTGGCAACCAGAAAATACCTTTCGGGACCCCCCACTCTCTCATTGTGATCCATGCCCCTCTCTCTCTCCTGTCCTGCTCCCTCCAAGGGAATGATCATCTTAAGGTCAAATAAGGTGTGATGTCAGTGAACCCAACTCGGGTCCTGCCAAATCTGTACGAAGTGGTGGTGGTGATGGGGGTGTTCTTGAGGACTAGTTTCCGCAGAACTCCCCTGTGGAGGATAAGCAGTGTTCCCTCTAAGCTGAGTTAGTGTGAGCTAGCTCACAGTTCTTTAGCCCCTGGCTCACACATTTTTGCCTTGGCTCAGGAAGGGGGGCTCCCGAGCAAACTAATTTACGCAGCAGCCAAATCGCTCACTCACAGCTTTAATGCCAGTCGCTCACAAAGTAGGATTTTTGCTCACAAGACTCCACAGCTTAGAGGGAGCATTGGAGGATAGTTCCCAGTTTCAGTGAGATGACATGGAATCGTGGAGTTGCAAGGGACCTCCAGGGTCACCTAGCCCAACCCCCTGCACAATGCAGGAAATTCACAAATACCTCCCCCCACATCCCAGTGACCCTTGTTCCATGCCCAGAAGAGGGCAAAAGAAACCCCCAAAACCCTTCAGGATCCCTGGCCAAACTGGCCTAGAGAAAAATTGCTTCCTGACCTCAACGTGGCAGTCGTCATTTTCCTGGGGATGTAAGAAAGGGCCACGGGAACTAAGCACTGCCCTCCCTCTCATGATCTGCCTAAATTCACACCACTGAGTAACCGCTCTAACTGGCAGGAAGTCCTTCCTAATGTTGAAGGACTTGAAGATGATTATCCTATCCTATCACCACTCCGTTGTCGTCTCCTCTCCAAGTTAAACATACCCAGCTCCTTCGACCTTTCCTCATCGGACTGGGTCTCCAGACCCCTCACCATCTTCGTTGCCCTCCTCTGGAGACGTTCCAGTTTGTCTATGCAAGTGTAAAGGCCAGGGGTCATTTCCTGCAGGAGCGCCCAGGAGCGGAGCTCCGGCAGTAAAGAGCCCAGGAGGTGGGCACATGCAACAAGCCCCACCCCCTGCTCCCAGCAGCCCTCAGTCAGAGCAAGAAGCAGCCAGGTAAGTTGCAGAGCCTCCCCCCCCGACCCCCTGGTCCAAAACTGTCCAGTGGCACCTTTAAGACCAAGTTTTATTCAGGTACAAGCTCTCCCTCCTCTGTAAGGACAGATCTGCACGTCCCCCCCACCCCTAGCTAACAATCCAAAACAGCCCAGTGGCGCCTGAGCGGTGGGTGTTGCCTTCTGACACACTTCCGGTGATGTCAGGGGATGTGGCATATGCAAATTAGTTAAGCTAATGAGTTATGCTAATGAGCTCCTGCACCTCTTTTTCTACGAAATGACCCCTGCCATATAGTACAGTGTTCCCTCTAAGATGAGTTAGTGTGAGCTAGCTCATAGTTTTTTAGCATCCGGCTCACACATTGTCGTCTTAGCTCAGGACGGGCGGCTCCAGAGCAAACTCATTGATACAGCAGCCAAATTGCTCGTTCACAGCTTTCATGCCAGTAGCTCACAGAGTAGAATTTTTGCTCACAAGACTCCACAGCTTAGAGGGAGCATTGCATCTAAATGCTCAGCTCCCCCCCCTCCCCCGCCACTGCCTCTAGATCCAGGATCTAAAATTATTCCACTGCTCCACTGACATTGATGTTGCTGCCTAAATACCAGCTGCGAGAACCTTCCTTCTGCGTTTGAAATCGTGCTGATGAGGGGCAGCAGCAGGTCTGCCTGCTCCTCTCTGCTGATATTCCCTGTCTGTCTTGCAAAGGGCTAAATTCTCCCTTTTATGCCCCGGCCTCTCTGTCTGACCTTCCCCTGTCCCTCCAGAGCCCAAAGCCAACTGCAAAGCTATATTTTAAGCTAATGCCATTTTACTGACACTAACAAGGGCCCAGTCAGCCTTACGCTTTGGCAATCGGCAGGGCCGCCTATCACCGTCCTCCTGAGCCTGGTGGCAAATCCCCGGGAGACATTGTGTGAAGACCGATGAATCAGTCGCTGATGCTGAGGGCCAAACTGGACACGGGAGCTAAAAATCAGGTTTGCTGAAATCCAGGGGTCGTTTCATAGAAAAAGAGCTAGGGGAACTCATTAGCATAACTGATTAGCATATGCCACACCCCCTGACATCACCGGAAGTGTGTCATAAGGCCACACATCCTGACATCACCGGAAGTGTGTCATAAGGCCACACCCCCCGCCTCCAACGGTCCCGGCTGCCACCGCCGGCCTTGCAGCTCCACTGCCGAGCCCCAT